GTGTTTCATCTCGCAAGAGGACAATATCGTAAAAGATTAAATTTATAATAAAAATGTTCGTAGAATAGTGTACGTTATGCGATGTTAATGATACTGTTCTGACTGAAATATATTACATGGTCAGAATAATTTTCTGAAGGACGTCAAATAATTTTCTAAAGCATCGATTTGTGTTACAGGTTCCTGCAAACAAAAATATTAATAGCTATTGGTCGAAAAAACATTGATTTCTATTTAATTAAAATAAGTAAAGGTACTATCTCTTTAATTTTCGTTTGTATTGTCATACGGAGCATAAGAAAAAATACATGTAATATTCCTTTACTTAAGTTATTATGGTCATTTATGCGATAAGCTCATATAAAGCAATATATAAGGACGAAGCAACTCGTAGTTACGAATCATCTAAGACAATGTCCAAAAAAAAAATTTTGTGTTGCATGTTGCTAGTAATCGTAGGAGTATTCTTTAGAAGGCAATGTGAGGCAAACGAAATTACTGAAATATTTTTTGACGAAGGAGGTATAACTGCAGTAAGTAAATTTCATTGGTAATTAGATCCGTTATCATATTCTGATTCGTAAGCATGTTCTATAATTTTTTAGGCACAAATTGCGTGTGCGAAACATTATTTATATAGAAATTATTAGAACTAGCTGTATAAACATCTTCTACAATAAACCGAATTTTTAATTAATTTAATTTGTCTACTATCGCATTTGTATAGTGTTATATTAATTTTCGGACAATCAAAGTCATATATAAGTAACGTGTGAAACTGTAAATATAACTTACATTTACAACGAAATAAATGCGAGCATTTTATAGACAGACATTGCGCACAAAGCGGGATATCCAGCCGAAAGTTATGAAGTTGTCACACAGGATGGTTATATTTTGCGGGTGGATAGAATCACAGGATCGAAAAAAAGTCCCCCGTCTGATAATAAAACACCTGTATTACTCGTTCATGGAATTTTAGATGCTTCGCCTACGTGGGTTGTAGCAGGTCCTGAAAGGGCTTTAGGTACCTATTATCAAATTAATCACTCCTTTTTTTTATTCTCACATCTTAAAGTAGTTGAATACGCCTTGGACAAAGGAAAGTTGGTATCGTACGTGACGTTACTTACTAACATTAATTATTGACTAGACATTTCCTT